AATCCCTCACATACAACATAGAGGAATCAGCAACAGTAATAGTAACACTGATTATTACAACATTGTGATTATAACAACATAAATAATAATAAAGATAATACAACAACATCAATAAAAATAAAAGACGACAATAGTTATAATGACAATACAAATAAATGATACCAACCATTATCATGACGGTAGTTATAACAATAATAATAATTCTACTGATTACATTAATGACTATTGCGACATAGATAGAAATAACAGAATTTCCATGGACTACCTAAAGCCAAATCCTCGCGCATGCTCAGTCATACCGTCTCGCATCGTCAAACAAAACCCCCCTGTCCCTCTTCTACCGCGGTGGGGAAAGATCTGCCTCAAGGGAAATATTCCTTTGCTTCCCTTCTCATAGGCTGACGTCACACAACTGATTCATGAATATTTTTTCTTTTTCTTTTGACATGTTTAACCCTCTAATAACCACAGCGTGCAGATAATAAATAGTACCGATGTTTGTTGTGTAGTGGTTATACTCCCAATAGGATTCTTCAGATTGAGTCGGGCCAGCCAGATTTTTTATTTCGTTATAGATGGGGCTAAAGCTACCATTTTGGCGTAATACGAATAGCTGGACTCGTGACCTTTAATAAAAACTAATGCGTCCCTCCGTTTTGAGTCTGACCGTAGATTACAGTAGAATATTTTGTTGAATTTAGTCGCATTGCACCAAAATGGTTTTTGAGCCATCCATGAAGGATTTAATCTGACTAGCCCTGATACATTCCATTAGCAGTGAGCACTTGGTACCATGCATTTCGCTGTAGAGTTTGATTCTAGAGTACGACGAGTTTTTCTTGACTATCTCAGTCTTTCTGCTTGGACCTTGTATCACCCTCACCTCCGCCTAGGTTGACTCTTAGAGACAGGGACGAAGCCCGCCTCCTAAATTGTCTAAATTGGGTTGTTTACCCTCCACCCCCAAATAAAAAAACGAACGAACAAAATACCCTCCTCCCCCCTTTTTTTCCTAGTAAAAAAACAGAAAACACAAAAACAACACACACCTCCCTCCCCCCCCCCCGCAAAAATAAACAAATAAACAAATAAGAAAAATAATCTAAACAACAACAACAACAACAGAAACAACAACAACAACAAAAGCAACAACAGCAGCAGCAGCACCACCACCACCAACAACAACAACAGTAATAACACCACCACCAACAACAAACACAACCGGAGACACCATTAACATTTCGAAGACAAAAAGCTATTATGTGGTTTTGACTGTCTAGTTTTTGTGCTAGGGGGATCACTAAAGCAATTTCTTCCGGGAACTCCGCCAAGACCACTTACATTTTTCATGAGAGAATTTTGCGGACTCCAAAAGTTGGACCTAATTTGCTTAAACTGTCGTTGTTCCTTGGTTATTGTTGCACTTTCTTTCAAGTTCATGTACTGTTTTCCAGGGCATCCATACCTAAAAGTCTTGCGCGAGAATACTTCAGATGGTATTTTAAACACCTAAGGGACCGGCCTCACACTTGGCTTTCAGTTCTCCAGAACCGGAGCTGCCGCCCGCTTTCTGACAGTTTTGTAGCGAATGTACAACGATTAATTTTTACATGTTGAAATAATTAAATATTCTCTGATAAAAAACAGCTTTTAAAAAGAAAGAAAAAACCCTTCTCGTCTGCGGGGCAGAGGCTCTTCATTTATTCTATAGCCCATGGACGTAGCGAACAGTATATTATGATTACCGATCAAATGCGGACCAAACACAATGTTGCGGGGCATTTCGGGCAGTCATACACAAAAAGAGAAAGCAAAATAGAATATTTCATAGCTTTGACGTTGTTCTCTGCCACTTTAATTCAGATTAAAAAATTGAAACTGAAAAATCAACACGAATAATGAAGAAACGCTCTTTTTTAAAATTCTCCCTAACAGCGATCTTTCAATGTTGCCGAATGACCTGAATGAACGCCCCCTAGTGAAAAAATTGTGAAATTGTATAGGTTTAACGCCTTTATCAACAATATTAGGTTATTTAAGAGGCGGGACCTCCGAGTTTAATGTTCATCTCCGAAAGGACTGAGCCAAGCGGGACTTTCCCAAGGACACAACGTCGGACTGAGCTGAGGCTCAAACCCCCGAACTCGCAATCTCACGATTACGAGCCCTCACAAGACGAGGTAAGTACCTTCGTAAGAGTATGCAAATTAAAAAGTAAAAGACTATGGCACAGGAAAACATTCGATTTTTTTTTTAACAACAGCAATTTATTATAATGTGCTTAGTTCGCGTCTTTCAACCAAGACTCGACACATGGTTAGATATATAGTCTGGGGGAAAAGCACTGTGGTCACATTTAATCCATTTCATCATGCCGCGTCCTGATCTATTATTTGTCTTGTTCCTTTTTGATCAGCAATAACATTGTTCTCATACCAAAAATTACCATAGTCACGCACTGGTGGCACACTTTCCCCTTTTAAGACTTAACAGATTCAGTATGCCTGATCAGCAGCAGAACTTAGTTATGACACTCGGGGCCGGTCTCACACTTGGCTTTCTGTTCTCCTGGACCGGAGCTGCCGCCTGCTTTCTGACTATGCGAGATATGTGTTACTCTAATGTGAATAACACAGCCCCTAGTAAAGTTTTAGACATTGAACTGCACCAAACTATTAAGAATGTATGCCCCTATTCTCAGATACATTTTTATTGAAAAAAATATTTCGGTTGGAGTAATTAATTATGTAATAGTACACTTTTGTGTACAGTCAGCTCCTAACAGGATAAAGGACTAAATCTAGATCTACTTATATCGTAAATTGCTTCTCAATCAATGATAACTGGTTCTAGATCTATCTGTGTCTGAGTCAACACAGTCTGTGTTCATATTAATTTCGACAAACACCTCAGGTTCGGTGAAATACCTTTTCTAAACTTTTTATTTTATCGCTTTCCATTTTAATTGCCAGGAATCGGAAGCAAAATAGCTAAACGGAACTAATCACACGGTTAACGAACACATAAATATTATGTTTGGAGAAACATCAACGAACCTTTCTTTAGATCTCGTCAGTGGTCCTGGGGAAACAATCCGCATTCGCGAGGATACTCGTCCGCGTCCCGTAGGGTTCACCATCATACACAAATCTGATACAACAATAACTTGCATACTTCTTAGAATGCATGCTATTGCCTTCCATGTTCACGTTTTAAATTTAAAAAACAATAGAAGTGTGAATAAATAGGGAACGTAATGCTCCTTTTTTGTAGTGCTCCAATATAATGTGTCTCCAAGCGTTATGTCTTCCGTGAGTTAAAACAGACGTGCGGTGGAATATCATGAGATAGTGAGTGATAGGCAATTGTCCACAGCCTTTTGTTCTCTGACTACAGTCCTTTTTTCATAAAACAATTCTGGGTATTTTTACTCCACCACTCCACCATCGACACAATATAGATTATTAAGGGGTGGATTTAGAACCTGCCTGTTGTGGCCAACTGAGAGGGATACAACGTCCTTGTAGAAAGGTCGAGATAATTCGATGACAATTCTCTCTACACGGGCATTGAATTGGGGTCTTCTATATGGGGCAGCGAATCGTCTTACCTCTACACCGTGGATGCCAGTCTATTCTCTGACAATCCTCGGATAGAAACGAAAGAGGCCTGTATGAAACATTAGGTAAGCACCAAAAAATGGGGTGACCTTCAAGACAGGGGGGTTTTGGCACATGAACAGCACCTCACCAACGTAATTGGGCATTCGGATACTCACGATGACCCCCTCTTCATAAATTATGATCCAAATTGTGTCAATGGGGACGTAAGATGTTTACAATGATTTACACAATCCTGTTTGAGACAAGTTTTGGGAAGGTTGCGTCGGTAGTTTTTGTGTTTATGCCATCAGACTCGTAAATGTAGGGGATAGCGGGCTCCGGGGTTCGAGGCTCAGCTCGGTCTGACGCTGTGTCCTTGGGAAAGGCACTCTACACAAATTATTTCCATTTTAGCTCAGTCCAAACGCAGATGGACTTCAAATTAGAGGTCCTGCTCTTAAATAATCTTAAAGTGGTGCAACAAAGATGAAACATGTGCAATTTGGATTTCTCATTGAGGTATTCTAATTACATTTTCTTTTTCATTACCTCTAAACGGAACGACTGCCACCTGGGAAACAAATCCTGGTCCCCAGCCTCATCTGGTGACGTCACAACACTCGAGTCCATGGAGCTGGTGCGTCGTCTGCTCCTGTCTGCGATGACGTCATCGTTGTCAGGAACAACACAATGGAAGCCCACCTCGTGTTTGCAATGAATGACGTCACAAGAGGGACACGCCAAGTCATTGGACGGCCGTTTGGAAGTGAAACTTGTCTTAGAACAGACTTCTGATTTCGTAGGGCTGATGCGTGCAGCCTTGCTGCCGCTGTTCGTTGAAGGTTTGGAACCTTTCCTGGGGCGATTTTCATTTTCCACGCAGGAAGTAGAGCATTCTCCTCGATGGCACGCCTTGACGTCACCGTTATTTGCATTGACGATGGAGCCATTTCTGCTGGAAGTGTCACGTTTTTTGTCGTATACGTCATCGTTTTTTGTACCCCCACCGCTACCTGAGCGTCTGCTAGCCTTAGTTTCGGATCCAGGTGACGAATTTTGAGACTTTGTCTTATTGTCAACAAAACTGAAGTTTGAGACAATGCTGAAAATTTTTCTCAGTTTGGACTTGCTGTGTTTACTCATTGTAGAGATCCTTCAGTTGAGCGGTTACGGTGCCAGGCTCACTGTCCAAAGACAAGAGTTCGATTATCACTCTCAACAAATTAACGTTATGTCTCTATTAGAGGTTCTTTAAACGTACTTTCCTGTCAACTATCTGCAAACCGGGAAGGTCTATACTTTCAGAAGGTGTGCACTTTCTAGGTTTTATAACGGGAAGCACTATATGGCAGCAACACTGTATGTCTATTGAAGGGGCAAGATAGTGAAAGAACTGTCAGGCTAAGGTCAGGCTATGATGTTGTCAAGTATTGCAAGAGTATAATATTATTATTTTACCAACGTAAAAGGCGAAAAATCTTCATTAAAGACATGGTTGGTACTTTTGCCTTCTTTTTTTTATAACATCAGACAACAACCGAATACTCCTAACAAGCTCCAATGCTGTATATCTCCCATGGAACTAATTGAAAAAATTGTTATAAACTGACTGGCAAAGTGAGTTGTTCATAAGCTGTATGAAGTGTCCTTAGGATTAAGGTGCACTGTTATAACAAAAAGCCCATTTTCCTCACAGATGTTTACTCTGTCTCCAGTTGTCAACTGTTCGCAACCATGATCTCAACCCTTTCCCCTCGTTTTGAGTCTGACAGTAGATTACACTGACAAACTAACGCCAATCCATTCACGAGTTCAGTATATCAGATTCTCGCAAACACAGAATGGTATTCTCTTCCAGAAGTTCCGAAATCCTTGTTCATTAAAAGGTTTGTGAACACAACGCCAATCACACTTAGGGGAACAACAGCCGTATATGTTCTGTAAAAGTGCCCACACTCGTTACAAACCTATAAATATATTAATTGTGAATGCGTGTCAAATCCACGACAAATAATATA